TTTTTCGTGGATACGTATTTGGAACAAAGAATTCCAAAGTGAAAATTTTTTTTTGGCAAAAGTAATATCGTCTAAAAAATGTGCGAACAGCCTGTGCATTTTTAATTCCTTGTGAGAAATAAAGGAATTATTGTAATCACGAAAAGTCCCGGGTTTCATATTTCAACGAAAAGTTTCATTTTGACCGATGTCGAATGCAATTCAACATTTTGCGTGACATCTGTACGTAAGGACAGAATAACTAACCCTTTCCCCCCAAACTAGTTATAAAACTGATTTAAAATGGTTAGAAGAGATTTTTTTATCTCGCACAACTGAAAAACGAATAATCCAGAACATTAAAATTTTGTATACAGGAATGTTATAACACGATTTCTTGGACCTTTCATAGCATACAAACTTGGTGGAAACGAACATTTTTCCACCTAATACCGAGTTAGTGGAAATTTTGATCTTTACATAGTGATTTGACTCTTATTTTCTTTTACTTTACTCTGGAGTCCTGCGTTTCTTCAATATTCAAGAAGCGAAGCATTTCTAAAAGTCAGCAACTGGGAGGGTGACCTCCCACGTGACCTATGAACTTGAGTTCTATGTTCAGCCTTGTTGTAGGACTTTCTGCATTTTTAGGACTGAAATTTCTGGTATTCCTTATATATATCATATTGAAGAACATGGGGAAAATAGTGATTTTTCGCTATTGTAACCCATTATTTAATTATTTTACTCTTTTCATCAGTTTTAAACAAGTTTACGCTAAGCGAATCAGAATACCTGATTTCGCTCACGTGACATGTGACTGCTTTCTCTAAGTATGCTCTGGGATAGACATCTTGAATTTGTATATATGTATTTTGTGTTAATATTTTTTCTGCATTTATTCTGTTATTTTGTGACTCTTACTAAAGTTATTGCATATTTGCTTTCCTGAAACATCTTCGAATGTTATAATGAAAACACGATTCTGTTTGCACCATCCCCATCACGTTATCATGGACTCCGAACTTCAACTTACAGTACTGCTAGACTGTATTAAGTGATGAAATCTGGTTTATTCCATATGTTGTTACTCTGATGATTACTAGGAAAATTTCCCTTCTGCAATTTTGTATGTTTAATGTTTTCTTCAGCTTTTTTAACTTGAAATCTCGCAACGTATCAACGACTACTTTACACCTCACGTGACAAGGTAGTCACGCCTTCTCAACACCTGCAATCCTGACTAACGGTCTCATGCATTCTCCTACTTTCAGCGCTCTATAGCAACTAACTCAGACACAAGGAACAAAAGTCGCAAATCCTGCAAGTTAATCAGCGGCGCATCCAGCGGAACTTGGAAAGTTATGCACCTCGCTTTTCCCATGCAATCGGCAGAACCAAAAGTATATAAATATATATATGCCCATTATGTACCATTATAAAGAGGCTGCAAACAATTCTTCCCTTCCAAATTACTCAATTCCATATCCAACATCATTACTAAAAACAAAATTAGAAACAGAAATAATGCACTTATGGAAGCAAACGTGGACTGAAACAACTACCGGCAGAAGAACTTTTACTTTCATATCAAAACCTTCCAGATCATTCATATCTACCAACCGTTCAATTACATCTTTCCTAACAGCTCATGGTCCATTTCCAGAATACCTTCATAGATTCGGACTTCACCATACAAATCTCTGTACCTGTGGGAATGAAGCTACAGTAGATCATTATCTCTTTCACTGCAACCTCACTAAAGATTATCACCTTAAAGCATACAATTTAACTTCTGCTCAATTAAGGTTTCAACAGTTATTAAAAAGTAATATTCTAAGAAATCATCTTCATAATAAAATAAACTATATCTCCGCAAACATCGATAATCTTAAAGGAACTTGAAATCATTATTCTTTGTTTACCTTACTTAATACGCCATTCTTTTTCTACCTCATTTTAATTACATACTTTTTAAAAATCATTTTAATGCTTTCACTCAAGACCATCTTTATTTCAGTACACCTTCAAGATCTCTCAAGCTCAATCAAGAATTTAAGAATATTTTCTAACTCCGTTCCCTTAATATATTTATAAAGTCTCAACTCAAGATTATTAGTCAAGTCTTTTACTCAAGAATGACTCTCTATCAAGAATTTCCACGAACTTTTCATTCAAGTCATCCTAATTCATTCAAATACTATTTCTCATCAACTTTTATTCAATTACTGCTCTTCATTCTCCATAATGAAATACTTTACTCTTATTCTTAACTGTTTACAAACCTTACATTCTCAGCTTCCACTATTCTCATACATTATGTTGTTCATTTTCAAAATTTGTAATGATCATAAGTATTTACTTACGTATTTATGTTTCATTTACTTACATATTTATTTAGGTATTATGTATTCATATATTTAATTTTTTTTAATTTTTATTATATAATTCTCAAAATTCTAATATTGTATTTGAGTTCATATATAACAGCATTGTATTTCTTATTCTAAATTTTTAACTTTTATTTATTGTATCTATTTATGTTTATTATTTATTGTGTTATTTATATATTTATTTCTTGATATTTAATTTTTATTATGTACTTATCAAAATTCTAAAATTTTATTGTATTTTACATAACACAGTTGGTAGATGATTCCATCAGTTGAGCGTAAAAGCTGAATGTCTTAAAGGCGGTGCAGCTGCTCATCTGATGGTAAATAAATAAATAAATACCCATTATGTTACTCTGCTCCGGATGCCCAGTTTTTGTTCGTATATGTTGATTAAATTACGCATTTTTTGGTTAAAAATATTTGAATTACGTTGTTCTTATCTTCCGGTTAAGGTTTTTATGATTTTAGTTAATCTGCATGAAATAGTTGTAGAATTATCAACAATTAAATGGTGCTGAGGTACAGCTAAGCCTCCATTTTTGTACCGTAGCAGCCATATTTGTTTTCATTTGAAACTTAGAATAGTGTATTAAGTGTTTCAGCACCTTCAGTGTTTTTTACCGAGTGGGACATGAAAGAACATTTAGTTTTGTGCAACGAAAAATATGCCCTCCAGCCCTCTGGTCGAATTGCTTGGTTTTGCGTAGAAACTCTAATTTTAATTGTAAAATTTGTTGTTTTAATTGTAGTTGTTATGTTTAGTACGTTTCTATATCTTTCAATTTTAAATGAATATATTTTGAGTTTTTATATATTTTTGCCTTGCCACGATGTGAGAACTTATTGAATGAGAAGAACACTCATGTCCATAAATTTAGGATAATGCAAAATCAGGCAAAGGAAGAGTTAGAAGCAAAACAAATTTGACTTATTTGTAAAGCTTATTTATTAAACAAAAGGTAAAGAGCAAAAAAGGATGCTATATGTTTGATATTATTAAAAAAATTAGCGATTTTTTCTCCCTGGAGCAAATTACAAAAAACACATATTTGCAAAAAACCAATATTACATGGTTGGTATGATTGTTAATACATTGTATGTCTCCCAGACGATGCAATACAGACCGTACAACACCTAGGCATGCTGAGTATCAAATTATCGATCTGATCTTGGGGGATATTACACCACTCAAAAAGCAATGCTCTCCGAAGTTCCGGTAGACATGTAGGAAGAGGTTGACGGGCTGCAACTCGTCGGCCAAGCATGTCCCACACGTGCTCTACTGGATTCAAGTCCGGTGAGAATGCTGGCCAGTCCATCGATGTTTGCACGGTGAGGACGGGCGTTGTCAGCCATAAACACAAATTGTACGCCCATGGCGCCCCGAAACAAACGTACATGTTGTTCCAGAATGACGTCCCGATAGATTTGGCTTGTCATGGTTCCAATTTGAACATGCAGGTCAGTCTGGAACCCAGAATAAGTCCACACCAAACGAGCACTCCTGCACCACCCTAACGGTGTCATTCAATGATGTTTTCTTGGTGGTAACGGGTGCCTGGAGCTCTCCATATGAAAGTCCGGCGAGAATCAGACTGCAAGCTAAACCTGGACTCGTCGGAAAACATCACACAAGCCCACTGTTGCGGTGTCCACAATGCATGCTCTCTACTCCAGGCTAACCGTAGGCGACAGTGAGTTGCAGTAAATGGAACGCATCTGATAGGTATACGAGCATACAGACCAGTCTGCCGTAAGCGTCTACGGTCTGCCTTGAAATTGTCGTACCAGTGGCTGAAGAGAGCTGACGAGACAGGCTGAGGCTGTGCTCCACCTGTTTCTTTTGGCAGTGACTGCCAAATACCGGTCCTCATTCAGCGTTGTAACTCTGGGACGACCTGTGCTGTAACGTCTACTCACATTACCATCATCTTGGAATCATTTCCAAAGCCTGGAGATGACACTCTGGGCAATTTCAAGTTCGTCTGATACTTCCAGCTGGGTACGCCATATTCCAGACGGCCGATAATTCTACCACGTAAAAATCATCCAAATGCGTCCTTTGTATCATAACTGTTCGGTTATTGCACTGATATGCTTATAAAGCGCCTGCGAACAATTTTACTTCTTTGCCTGTATTCTTTATATATTACTCTCTTACACTCTCGTCATTGTGACGTACCATCGGTGTCATCTGGTTACTTCCTGAAATTTGCATATGATTCTTGTAGATGTGTGTAGTGATTTTACAGGTGATATATTTATTTTAGAGTTCGATTTCCGCGTGACTCCGAATTATCCTTAATTTATGGACATGAGTGTGTATCTCTAATGAAAATCGTTGAAATAAGTTTAAAGGAAATGCAGGAAAAAGTGCCTATAATTTAATATTCCATACAAACAGATGACGTGGTGTACCCAGCAGATTTTTATTTTTAAAATAATGAAGTATTTTTAAAATTTGTTTTTTAGTCATGCTTACTATGGCCATGAATAACATAAGCGATAAAACATACCAATTGCTTTAGGATGGTTAATTTTTAAGTGAATACTGTGATTGTGATTCAGATGTTTAGAAGCAAATGCCTTTCTGCAATAAAACCAAAACAAGCTTTAATTTAACATTTCAATGTTTACGTATTGACATTCCATATTCTGTTAAAGTTAATACACAGTAAGCAATCGATTTGTCTGTTTTTATCTAATTATATGCTTTAAAGAAGACCTTCTAGAGTTCTCATCAGGGACTGCTTCATAGTTTCTGTCAAACTCAAATTCGGAATAACGGGCCAGAGCAATTCAGCCGATCTATCGGAACATCCCAGTGTTCCGTAGTCAGCTCGACGAGCAAATTCTACCGTAACATTTCGGGCAAGGCTTGAGCATTGGGCAGCTGCATAGTCGGCGACACAGGAAATGACGTAAACGTAATTTCTAAATTTGGAGAAAAGGGTATATTATTTTTATGAAATAAAAAGGAGAATGAAAAGAAACAAGTATTTAACTTTTAACCTAAAAACTCTTTAATAGTAGCAAAGTACAATACAGTCTCTAAATTTTGCTCTGGTGTGCAGCAATATTTTTCAAATAATTTGAATAACAATTTATTATCAATGTTCATTATTTTCTATAACTACACAAATATATTTTTCTTTCCCTACACATTATAAACATTATTCATATAAGATATTTCTCCCGCCATCTTAGCATGCCTTCATGGTGTAGCGGTCAGCACGCTCGACGCCTATTCGAGAGGTCCGTAGTGCGAGTCCCGGTGAGGGAATCTCTCCTGCTTCGAAATAACCTGGTGTCTCTGCAGCCGCGATCGAACTAAAAAGGTGGTGAATGATGATTCTTCACCATCAGGATTTGGCAGTTGGGTCCCCTAAAACCCCAGTCGCCCTTTAAAAGGTGGAGTATATAAGATATTTCTCCAGCCTTCTTGTCATGCCTTCGTGGTGTAGTGGCCTGCACGCTGGGTGCTTATTCGGGAGATCGGTGTTTGGAGACACGGCGAGGGCATTGCTCCTTTTTCACACATCTACTCCATCTTTCCCGTGGTCTCCACCAAGGGACTCAAAACAGACTTCTATCTACAAGAAGCTTTCACAAATAACGGAAGATTTCCCGAGTACTTCAACAGGTTCTGCCAACACCTTCTAGATAGTTGATGGCGTTGGTTCTGCCATCAAAACGTCAAATGCGCTTGCGGTGCTTCAGCTTCTTCAGCAGACGTCTCGCATTACATCCGCGACTTTCCACTCTTCTCCCATCACTCCCTTCCTGAGCTCCAGGTATTGGAGTCTCAGAGACCTTCTCCAGGATTACTACGGACAGCGGGACGTCAGAACTATCATAGAATATGTCTATTCTAAGAGAAACATAATCATAGCGGATAACCAGGTCTAGGCACTTGACGAAATGTAAAGGCAGCAGGCCTCCGTTCATGTATATATGTAAATATCTCTAAACTAACTAACCCTCTTTGCTAATTTTATATTAACATACACAAAACATAAGTTAGAGCAGCCAACAAAAGTAATACACTAAAGTTAAATGTGTTTATTAATAATAAGGTTGAAAAGATAAACAACTAAAAAAGGTTGCTGGTGCAAGGATTCAGGATAACATGACTGACTTCTAGTGCCCATTAAGAGGTGAAGCAAACGAAATAATAATAAAAAATAGTTCTCCTGCTCGAAATAACCTAATGTTTCTACAAACATAAGATAATAAATTAGTCCTACGTTTACGATATTTTCCATTTTCCTTTCAAATACTTCTAAACATGAACTAGACACAATGCTGCAAAACGAAATTGAGTGTTCAAAAATTAATTAAAACTACATATGTTAAAACTCACACCACACTATCTTTATCTCTTTCTGACCATGAACATCAGTACACCTGTTTCAGTAAACAACACGAGCTGTAACTCTAAATTTTCAAATGATTTTGTGTTTTTTCGCGTAAAATTAAATTGATGGGAATAAATAATCTATAGACCAGCAATTCTCAACCGGTGGTACACAAGGGCAAAATGTGTTTTACGCAAAGAAAGAGAGTGTTTTTAACTATTAAATTCAAAAATCTCGTGAGGGAAAAAAAAAAAAAAAAAAAAAAAAAAAAAAAAAGAACGGGTGATGACCAGTTTCCGCTAATTTCTGTTTCACTTGCGTTCGTAGAATTTAGAATTCTTTAACATCTGTTAAATTTATAAAGTATACCTAAATGCAAAAATAAATATTTCTTATTCAAAAAGATCGAATTCGTGTGAATTTAGTTTGACTTGAAACAGTAAATATTTTTTATTATATAAAAATCCCATTTAAATTTTTTACATTAATACAATGTTTTTCTCTCGAAACCTGACAAATTAAATTGCATATTTTTTAGTTGAATTTTGTTTTCATTTTATATTTTTACTAATTTTTTACATAATGGTTACAGTAGGATTTTATTATAACATCACTGTTACTTTTAAATCACCAAGGTTCTAAATCCTCAGACTTGGGGGAACAATGCTTACTGCACTTGTTTTACTCTCCGTCATTGAAGAAAACAAATTTTTTCTAGAAGTAGAAGTGTTTGTTAGAATATTAATAACTGTTACATTATTTTTAGAATTTCAACTAAAATATTTGAAAACACCTTGTCAAAAAAATTAGCATGATTTAAAATTAAGTATCCATTAAACAAGCGCTCGATTATCCGAGCTCAAATCGGTCCCATTTACCTCGCATGATTGAGGTTCTGCTTAACTTATTTTAGTAGTTCATTTGTCATTTTATTAGTGGACATATATAAAGTACTTTTACGTAATTTTTTTTACGTTAAAAGAATCAAATAGGATAAAGCTATTACGTAAACAGATATCACTGATAATCATGTTCTCTAACAAAACAGCTTCACAAGAGATTACCAGAATTATTCGGAACCTTTGGGAGAACGTCATTGAACAGAAGATTTATTGTACCGCAGATTAAAAAGAAAATGTTTCCCCCAATAAAACGAAACTCTACGAAACATGTAACATTAGTAATATACTGTCTAGGTGGGAGATTCTGAACTGGTGGTATGCAAAGAAACAAAGAATTTTTAATATTAAATTCAAAAATGTCGTAAAGAAAAATTGCTAGAAATTTCTTGTGATCGAACTGTGATAACTGAAGATTTAAAAAATGACACTTGTTAACTTTTGGCTGAACCGAAAAAAACAATTTAAAAGGCATTTCAAATAAAGCTATTAATTTTTTTTACCTTTCTGCAGAACGTATTTGTGTGAGCAAGAAATTTCTTCCATGTCATATTTGAAAAATAAATACACACGAAAATTAAAAGTGGGTCCAAATTTTACGGTTTAAAAGAAGTGAAATTACATAGACATTAGGAGTCATGAAAAATGAGCTATGCTCTCGCCGGGATTCGAGCCACCGACATCTCGAATACGCGTCCAGCGTGCTGACCACGACACCACGAAGGCATGCTAAGAAGGCAGAAGAAATACCTTATAAAAAAAGACCAGACATAATAAAATTGACCTCCTTTTAAATTAGCCTATATTTCACACTCAATTTTAGAATTAAAGTATTATACACGTACCTTAAATTTTCATAAATAAAATGGTAACCAATTTTCAATTTAATAATATTTTTTATGTGTGCATATTTAATACGGATAGCCAATAAGTTGTGCAGATTACAAAGTATTTTTTAATGTTTTTATTGAGAAATTAAAAATAATGCGTCTTATAATGGTGGTACTGTGGTTTTTCAACATATGTTTAGATGTAACGCGTTAGTCAAAAGGTTGAAAACCGCTGCTATAGATTAAAGACTATAATAATTATGGTTTTGTATGGGTCAAATAGGAAGATATCTCTGATTGTGAAACACAAACATGCTGCTAAATCGGCTAATATTGCGAAGGGGAGGAAATCGATTAGTAAACAATAATCAGATACGTTAGAGCAGAGGGTTTCCCAACCTTTTTATTCCTAACAGCACAAGCTAGAATATCTGTTGAACGGCGGGCACCATTCATGTTTTCGCGGTGAATTTATAGTTGGGATAGAGTTAATAATACATGCACATAAAAAAAAAAGACATCGGTCGCATTTAGCTTTGTGCTGGACGCAATTTTTATTTCATTAAAAATGAGAAATCTTTCACGTAGACTTTTATCGAAAAGTAAAGCATTTTTATTGTGGTCGCACAGCAACGGTCAAACGTTTAAGAATCAGCGGACCCGCGGCAATAAAGTTGAGAATCCCTGCGTTAGAGCATGATGTAAAATTTATATATATATTTAAAATATAAAACACATTTCCTTATTCCGTCACATACCGTTTTGCGAATATGTGAATTTTTTAAGCCTGAAAAATGCGTGTCTGCGATTTTATCGTCATACTGTGATTTGTTGGTGCTTTATTTTTTTACTACGCTATTCTCGAGATGATGGAAATTGAGGAACTTTTTAACTGCTATATTATCGATGGCAATGTTTTGCAACCTGCGATGCTTTTTCCTTGCTTTCTTTTCTCAGACGATGTTTTGCACAACTGCAGTTTCACTTGCAGTTCACAGTGTGCATTTAACTCTATAATGTACGAAACACAATACGTTGCATTTATTAACTTCTTCGTCGTCCGTAACGCATCTAGCGCGTTCAAGTGAAACTACAGCAGAGAAAGCACCATTAAACGCTACGAAAAACAGACGGCCGCTGGTGGGAAATTTTCGCGGACAGGAGAGGACGGCAAAAGGCTTAATATTCTATTACCGAGCAAATACCATACCGAAGATACTGCAAATTATACCGAGCATCTTATTTAAGGTTAAATACTTTTCTGCAGTGAATATGCGAGGCTTTAAGGATTCAAAATACAGTACTTCCTCATTTATTAAATCACTGAAATACTTAATGCTTCTTAATGTTGTTAATTTATTTACTGGAGCATTTGTTAACCAGTCTCCGTTACGAATCCGAAAACAAAATTAATTCGGTTTATGCTAAATTGGCAGTTTTGTCAGCATTACTTGGTACTTTCTTCGTTAGCTGGCAGTAGATAATAATGAGCGTGTACCATTTACCGCTTAAAACAAACAAGAAGTTTAAAGAAAACGGATGACTTTGATGGTGAAGAATAAATCTTTTATGAAGACAATATGCAACTTAGAAATCTTCGGGTTTTAATTCTGTAGAAATTAAAATAAAATACTTCTGACCCTATGAGATTGACTCGCAAGTTTGCTCTCCGTCTAAAATATTTTGAAAAGCTCTTCAGAAGGTTGTAAACCTTAAATAATCCTCTTCTTTAACCTCAAACCCGTGGCACAGATCGAGCTTGAAAACTAAGCTACGTCACTTGCGGTTATTTGAATAAAATAAGCTGAAATTCCGAATGAATTCAGAGTTAATTTAAGTAATCAGAGGCTACTCTAATTAGTGGCTTTGTATTTTGATGACGCGTAATAATGTTGGCTAGGGAAAATGGCTAAAGCCGGAATATCGACAAAGTTGGGCGACAGAACGTAAACTGCAGGCGACGCTTTCAAAAACTTCAACCACAAAATATTCACAACCCTCGACTTAAATACAAACTTAATTTGCATACTGATGAGGACTGTGGGAAAGAGATATTACAGTAAAGGTTGAGATCATAATAATTGGTTAATTAACATAAACTAAAATAAAATACTCTACAAATTAAATTCTAAGGTATGTGTAAACTTCAAGTCAGAAATCCTTACAGGCAACGCAGTTTCCCGTAGTTTAAATACTCGGTTCCAGATGTCTTACAGGTTTCAGATATTAGGTAGTCTTGCTGCATGTGATGGGCACTGAAATCTTCGTACGTCCAAAAGAGGTCGGGCTTAGAATCGAAGCAAACCTGCTTAAGGTTGTCCTTTGCATGCTTGTAGCAAGGTATACTTTCGATAAAGGCTGAAAAGAAAAAAACATAGTCGTATATGTCTAACATAATCGTATCGTAAACATAATCGTATATCTTTCTGTCCTTGGAAATGGTTGGTTTTGTACTAAAGATTGCCGACTTAACAGTGTTTCTGGAAGGAATTCCCAGTAATTCTTCATGTGTTGTAGTTTACCTCACTAAAGGTGCCTGATATCTTCCTGTAAACGGAAGCAACAAGTAAAGCATGATATTCTGTTACCGTGTGCCTTCAATTTTTTAGCTAATTTAATCGTCGAAAATCGAGGGAGGAAAATTATGCGAACAATTTAATTTTCGAAAAACGTAATTATAGTTAGATTTTAACAAATGAAACTTAGCCATAGATAAACTGCAGGTAACTATCACAATATTATTTCTTTAAAAGAAACCAGCATTCCAGTAAGAATACATAGCAATATTAGCATTACAATATCTAATAAGAAATCTTCGTTCCTACTTCTCTAACTTAAATTTTGCCCTTTTTTTCGATTGTTGTTGCTTTACTACTTCTTAGGCTTCAAATCATCCATAAATAATTAGAGAAGGTGAATATGCGAAATCATAAATGTTCAGTTTGCGTTTACTTCATTCTGAAAGGTTACCTTTTATATTATGTTGGCATAAAACTTAGGCAGACTCGACAAACTATTCCGGCGTCATCTTCGCAGGTAATGTGCGAGGGTTGTCTTTATTTGTAAAATGGAAACATCCATTTTGAAATTTAGGGGAACTTAATCTTTGAATGTGCTAAAAGAGAAAACTATGATAATATTTTTAAAGTTTTTAGATCCTGCTCTAAAAGGCTAGGGGAGAAAATACTGTACACGGAAGCAAGCAACTAAGTGAAGAGGGTCATCACATGTGTTTTCATTTGAAATCGGAGACGTGAGAAAATGAGTTATACCTCACCTAAATTCGAACTCCGAATCTTCAAATTGCTAGCCGGATGGGCTATCGGTTACACGGCTAAGAATACACAGTAGGCAAGGCAAAATTCCTTCATTTCCTTCCTCACTCAAACGATGACTACTTCATTTTAATTGGTCGCAATTTTAGAGCTTTGATATGTTTCAGAAGCAACAGTTACACCAGCAGATTACAGATGAGGGAAGATGATAATTCTTCCTAAGAGGGGGAATTAACAGTGAGCACCGTTATAAATGCAAAGTGGCTATTACTAAAAACATTATTCATTTTCACAAATAAAAACTTTGTAATTATGCGATTTTATACGTTTACTGTTCTAGTCGTCACGGAAAATTTCTCATCTTCACCAAATTCTGATAGCTAGTTCAGGGCTCAAACATTTCCAAGCATATACTATAAGAGGTATGAAGTTGTAGGTTTTTCAAGGCGATAAGCAATGGCAAATTAAGGTAAAACTCCTTTAAATATTGTACTAAAGGGAAGGGTAGAAGAAATAAAAAAAAATATTTAAAAATATTAATACAGTAAAAAATACAAAATGACATATTTTATGTTTAAAGGAAGAGTTAACATTAAAGAAGTACTGGTCCGAGGAATTTGCTTTGCTTAAGATGGAAAATATAGAATAATTAATGATATGATAGTTTTAGGTAAAACTATAAAAAATAAAGAAAGATTATACTGTAGTACTGGATTATAAATCTATTACGTGCGTTGTGAGCTGTGTCTCCTAGAGACTCTGTTGCACAACTGCAATTCCATTCTTTTGCCAATTTCCTGTTTACTTCATCATCATCATCATGTAGTGAAATTAGCTACTGTTACTGCGGCAGAATGGCTAAAATAACTGTACTCGTGAAGAAATCATATATGGTTTTTTTCAAATAAGATTGTTGCAGTATTGGCTTCTAAAAACGCTGTACAACAAATGAATAATGTATTAATTCCCAGATGCAAATGTTTACATTCTTAGATGCAGGCGTGGATAACAACTTCGAAGACTAATGTGCAGCAGTTTCGTGCCTAGAGTAAAGGATGGATATAATTAAGATGAGGGTTTGGATCTTAATATCTTGGAATTTGATGAGGAATACTGATTATTCATGATGGTTTCGCCACTTTCAATAGTAATTGTGGTGCAGTATTATAACCACGGATTTCTCCAAAAACTATCAAGCTACCCCTTATCATGTTCATTTACTTGATCAAGCATTGTTAACCGAAGCGATGCCGCATATCTGCATGACAGTGCACCAGATTACACTAAAAAATCCATGACTGAAAGCGATGTTCATGAAATCGAGTATCAACATCTTTCATGTTCTATATAATCCTTGATAATAGACTTACTTGACTTATATTCTTATTATATAATATTTCTTTTCGGCGTGATTACGATTGTTACAGCGTGCGTAATCAAAAGACTCAAAGGAGTTTCATTCAATGCATCCAGGAGAACGATCAATATGATGCCATTAGCGAGAAGGCCTTTGGATTGTTAACTCATATAAATCCACTGAAGTTTATGGTTCTCGATGCCAGATTGGACTTGACTTTGAATGTGAGGAAAACCGACCTATGCACAACTGCTCTTCGCTTTGAAAACCAATAATACTTGCTATCCTCCTGGTGAATGGCTTCATATTTACACTGATGGTTCCCTTTTGGATTTTACACAGGGCGCTGGTTCTGCCGTCTTTCTGTGATTTGTTTTCCTTTTACTTACATGTTGACTCTCATACAACCCATTTTGACGGTGAAGACGAGGCCATCCATTTAGCCCTTCAACAGCTTTCTGCCCGTCTCTCTCCTCTTCATAAGGCCGTAATTTTATCGGACTCAAGTTCTGCTCTTCAAGCCTTAGCAAGTAACCTAGGAAAACAAATTGCTCGTGTCCAGAGTTGCAAGAAGCTGTTGAGCAGAATTCAGACAAAGGTTGTTTTCCAGTGGGTGCCATCACATTGTTGCCTATGGGGAAATCAGATAGCGGAACCTTTGGCAAAAAGATACGGATATTCTCCAAAGTTCTTCCAGAGACCTATCTCTGCTAAAAAATCTTTTCATTATGCTGCCATTAGTGCTACTGAAAATAAGTCATGGAGGGTGCTGTTAAATTCTGTGTCTCGTACTCTCCTATTGCTACTGCTGTGGCAGAATGTAGACTATTGACTGGACATGGCTGCCTTGGTGCTCGTTTGTTTCGTTTAAATCAGACTGACTCACTTTTATGTGCTTTGTGTGATTCTGGAGAAGTCATGGACTCTGCTCATCTGGACGTGTGCGCTGCACTTAAGAGTTTGGACTGTATTGTAAAGGGTTATTGGGGAGCTCGTTGCCTAATGACCTGATGGTCAATGGCCAAGCATTTGATAAATAAAATATAATCCTTGATCTCATCAGCATTGGTTCTATATGGAGTAAGCTTTACAACACAGTTAGAGAATAATCTGCTCCTGTTATTTATTTACAACAAGAAGTGAAATTAACCTCTCTTGATGCAATACAATGGCAAAAATAACTTTAATCGGGGCGTATCCTTGAAACGGTCATTTTCAAAGCAGAATTGCTACAGTATCGGTTCCCATAACAGGAATTGCAGCCTATTAATGATGTATTACATTCCAGATGCAGGTATTACAGTCCCGTTGTCTAGGTATTACACTTCAATGTTTCTAATTTCTAAATGAATTATTCGATAAGCTTCTATGCAATAATCTTCAGTACGTGGTTATAAATTATATTTTACTCATTAATTTGTCAAAACTATCACATGCAGATTTAGGTTTTTCTTAATTTAAACTGCATGATTTGAATATATTGTTTTATATATTAACATATATTTAGTGACGATACGCGAAAATACAAACGTGTACGAAAAATTTTACTTTCTGTAGAGTTTTTAAAATAATTCCCTTTTCTTCCCTTCTCGAACGGCGGTATTTATATTATTAAGTGTAAATGTGAATTAGATTAATTAAAATGCTTCCTGAAACAATTTACTCTTTAGCAGCCCAGACGGTATAGTGGTTAGGGAAACCTGACTGCGATAGGGAAGGGCCGGGTTCGAATCCCGGAGAAGGCATGCATGTAAAATTGTCTGTCCATTCATAGGAGGAAACGGTGGCTGCCATTCATAGGTGCCTTCACAATAAAATGGCACCTCTTCTGGCCTTAGTAGTGGCCAGTGCCTTTATAGGTAAGTGCCCGCCATTGGGAGCGAAAAAAAAGATTACGCGTGCGTGCATCTTAAAATGTCTCCACCACCCTTTTTGGTTGCGATCGGCTGCACAAAAAGTATATATATATATATATATATATATAATTGCAAAAAATTCTTTTGAAAAAAATATTCAATTAATTTCAATTCCCCCCGATGAAATGGCATTGAGATTCATTGAGTTCATCTTCTGTTTTTGTTAATTTTTCTTTGCATTTCATTAATATTTTGAAATAGGGTTTTGCTTGTTTGAAATGTTCTGGTTTTAACATTTTTAAATTCTTTGTTGTATTTATATGATTTTTGAAATTTATTAATTATGAATTTAAATGTCTGGTCTTTGTGAAATATTAGTTTTAAATTTCTTTATATTTACTATATATTAATCTTCTTTATATTTAATCTTCTTTATATTTAACTTCTTCTTTATATTTACTTATTAATCACTTGCCTGTTCCGCATTGGCCACTCCTAAGGCCAGAAGTGGTGGCCGTTTTATTGTGGAGGCACCTAATAGGCGGCCACCTTTGCCTTCTATGGAAGGACGGACATTTACAACTATACCTTCTCCGGGATTCGAACATTTGTACCGCAATAGGCTTCCCTACCGTCTGGGCGACAAGTAAGCGGTTATGATTTTGGTTAAATTCGATATATATGAAACGTTTCGATTTATTCTAGTCGCAAATTACGTTAAAAATTTTGGTTCTAAATGCAAAGTGTTCCAAATGAATATGATTAGAAAATTATGTACAAGAAAAACATTTCGATAATGTAATAACTGATTGTTCAGTAATTGCAACTCCAATTAATTATTTTCAATATCCAGCTTTGTATTTTTTAGAATGTAATTTTACAATAATTATATCTTCGAACGTATTTTATATATTTTTTCACGTATTGATTTCAATATGTCTAAAAATAAAAATTGTATCACTTACCTTGATGAAGTGAAGTGCTGTTATCACAGATGTCGTTTACAATATTCATAATACGATCGTACACCATTGGTCTGTCGAATATTACCACGCCACAAACTTCTTCACGTGTTCTCAGACATCGTAAGAACTCCTTAACCATTCTGATAGGAATGAGGCACAACTTTAGTAAATAATTTTCATTAGTTTTATTTATTTTGTTTTCCAAGAAACAAAGGAAAATAAAAATTCTTATTGCTATAGAATGTACGGAAGCATTTTACTAAATGCTTCCATACATTCTATACCAAGCTGAATCGACACAGGAATTGACAGGAATTGAATCTTATTCAGATATTATTTTTAACTACAATATCTTATTTACATGACAGTAATAGCTTATTCTGTTTTAATCTGAAATATTATTTCTTCATCTCATATACTTGCTTTCTTTAGGAAGCTCTTCCCAGTCAATCATTTGTTTCATGAGTACTTACGTAATAGGTTTTCCGGAAAATAATGCCGGTTTTTAACCTATATCTTTAAAATATTATAACTCAACTCAAAAGCAATTTTATTAATCAAAATAAGCACCAGCCGACTGAGTGCATTTTTGGCAATGAGATAGAAGTTTATTTATGCCGGTAGAATAAAATTCTGGAGTTCTGGACGCGATAAAGTTGTCAAAGGCGTTTTTGTTGTCAAAGGCGTCAAAGTCAATTAAGAGTAGAAAACCAAATTCAGTAATGCATAATTCGTGATGGGGATTTTTCCAGTAGGCAAGAGTTTTAACTTACTTTTGGATTTCTGAAAAATTTGGTTTTCTACTCTTAATTGAATTTTAATTAATTTTAACTGTAGTCATTTACTTGCTATTTTAAGTTTCTTTTCTAGTAATTCACAACATCTGGTTTTTTATTTTTTTATTTTATTTATTCATTTATTTATTTTTTGAATTTTACCATTTCCTGTATGAATGACAAAACACGAATTGAGTATTTGAAGAGTAAGGTTTGGGAGCAACTTTCCCTTGATAAGTCGGTCTCCTGCCTGCTCAACATTTATGCACCTATGCAATTTTTTGCAATAATATATTTTTTCATGATTTCAGGTACGTACAATTAACTTACATATGATCATAGAATTTAAATGATATTGTAAATTAGTTCGCAGCAATAATAATGTTTTTTTGCGATTAAAATTTCTTAATTAAATTTTAATTTTATATTTGCTTTATGCGAGCAGAGAATATTTGTTAAATATATATAGATACATATAGTTTTAATACTACCAACTGTAGTAAAAACGGAAGAGGCATAACTAGATGTTATAGCAGTCCCGTTTTAAATCAAAGAGTCCTTAATCATACGTACAGACGTCCTGGAAAAATAAATTGTCCAAATATATTCGTAAAAATTCAAAAAGGATATTACCGAAAGTTTTGACGATTACAATACTTCCTTTACTTCGTACAAGGAAGTAAAAAAAAATTAAATTGCACTATTATTAATGTCTTGAGTGCATCTACTTCGTTATGCCTCTCCATGCATACATATTAAATCGTTATATATGTATAAATAACATGGATAGCCAAAGTAGACTTCAAGATTATAAATTATTAGCATGAAACAATATTTAATAACTTATAATTCCCGTAAAACATTGAGGCATATTAATCTGGGAATTTCTGTGAATATAATGCTTACGAACATAATTTTAGAATCGCGTTTAAAGAAAATATGTCTATATACAGGCAAACATTGTCTCATTTGAAGCACTAATTACGAAAAGAAACTTACGGACACTGTTCTTGAAAGCTCTCTTGATTTAACCCAACAACGTCATCTTTTGTCGCATTTTGTGGCGTACATGCATCGAAAGGAAAATCCTGACACATACCAGGGGGAATATTCTGGTCCTGACCTATAAGTACAAAGCTCTATTACTTTTTTTAAACGGTACGAAATTTCGAATGAACAAAATTTACAAACTCTCACAAGTAAAATGATTTCAGTATTCGCTTACTGTTATTACAGGAAATTAAAGTTTAGAGCGAAATTCCTGGAAAATCAATTTAGTTAATATTATTTAGAGTTCAATAAACAAAATTTTAAATGATGGTTACGTATTAACGTAACTCCCTTGGGGCAGTTTGGTGATTTTTTACAGAAAAAATCTTATGTGTACACCCCGTGACTACCTTGTACGGAATATTAAATTATACGCATTTTTCTTGCATTTCATTTAAACTTATAGGATTGAATTAAATCTACTTCGCCGACAGCGCATAAATCAGAATAGAATAAATGCATTCTTTAAAATTCACTCTATTTGTTTACCATAGCGACACTCTGGCGCTAGGTTCACTCAACAGTATTATATTTCGTTCATATTATATTTCAGAATGCACAAAATTTATATCGTTTAAAGAATTATTTAATCGCTGCCACATGCTCTATTCAAATACTATAATAAAACTAGAACGATGTATAAAAGAAATTAAGCAAGCAAAACAAAAAAAGAAACAGTTTTTCACAGACGATTGAGTATTTCTCATTCAATTAATTCAGTTATCTTCGCGACAAGGCAAAAATACATAAAAACTCAAAATATCTGCATTAAAAATTACGAAGGAAATCTTAAACATTTATTTCCTCGAAAAAATTTCAGAAAGGATTTCCGCATAGAAGTCTGCCTTCTATATTCATTATACATTAAACTTTCTGCTAGTTTTTAATGTACCTGATTTCGGTTTGGATGTATATTGGAAGAAAAGGAATCAAGGTACAAAATCAGAGTCATTTTTTAATTAAAATCAAGAAAATACCACTTATTCATGAGATTTTGAGGAACTTTGAAATTTCAGGGCTAAACCCGTAACGCTCGGAGGGTTAAAGCAGTTTCATAATTTTTTTGCAGGAAAACAGTCTTTTATTCTGTCCTTACGTACAGATATCGGGCAAAAACATCGTTAAATTGCATTCTATAGCGGTCAAAACGGATATTTTCGTTGAAATATGCTGCCTGAAACTTTTCGCGATTACAATACTTCCTTTTTACTTCATACAGGGAAGTAAAAAGGGTAAATGTTACTTCTCGGGTGCAGGTTCGTGATTTTTCTTTTAGAAAGATATTCAAATTATCGACATTTATCTTAAGACTGCGAACATTATCGACACATGAAAAGAAAACACATTCTAGCAATTGGAAATAAAAATTCTGATTATTAATTAAAGATAACGTGATGCATTAATAAGATAAAATTCTTATATATTATTTTTCACCAAATTGTTCTGTAATTTTATGCGCTATTTTCCTCCCCAAGTTTTTCAAGCTCAAGAAAGCAACAAAGAATTACAAAGACTCGGTATTTGCAAACATTGGTAATACCTAAATAAATGCAACTTCTGATTGTTCCGTTTAGATATTTAGCGTCAAAACTATGTTCCTATTAAATGTTTACGCAGTTTCTTCCATCACTGTCAAGTTCCAAAAGGGCAATTTTTAAAATTAAGTTAAAGGCAGATAAAATCATTATTCGTTTATGAAAACCGTTGAAATTTTCAATACAGTAAAACGGAATGCATATGAAAATGGCAACCATCTTCCTTAACTGCCTCGGTGCAAATTTGCCATTTGCACAACAGCAGCTGAGGTGGTTGGTTCTGTATTTGGAATTTCGAAACTAGTCCTACAAAATTTACAAATACGACGCTGATTCTTGTTGTTTAACTTGTACAATAATCGTTATTCGACATGTTATTTTAACCTAAATTCTACTGACGTGTTTGAGACAACACTTACGTAATTACAAATGTTTAGAATCACGCAAGCGACCAAGACGTTGTTTACCGAAGGCATTGCATTTATCGACTATTCTATGAAGCCAGCGATAATAAGTATTTTTAACCACTAAGTAAACGACAAAGAGACAGAGGTATAATTAGTGTAATTAAAATTAAAATAAGGGAATAATTTAATGGAAAAATTAATAAAATGGTCAAAATTAAATTTAAATTAATGAAAAAATTAGTGATTACATTTATGGAATAAATTAATGGAATCTGTACATTTTTCTACTGAAAGAAATGCACGCGGCTAAAAATTCACATAGAATAAAAGAATACAATTCCGCCAATATTATTTAGACATGGGAGCCTATCTATACAAGGTGTATCTGATATACTTCAACGAACTTAGAGGGATGATAGCACTCATCAAGACGAACGAAACATGCAATGGAACATGGAGGCGCAAATAAGGTTTAAAGGGTGAAAAATCGCAAAATTAATAAAAAGATCGAAATCTCGCATGATGCTTATCTTCAAAACTGGCGGGGTACGAAGCTGGGTTTCTTTTCACTTTGTGCATATCCGGTGAAAAGGAGATAATCAAAACAGGTAGAAAGTGAAATAAATCTCTTGAGTGGGAACCCACGTATGAAAATTTTCTACATTCTTAGAAACAGACCAATAAACACAGCTTTGTAGCAAGCATGCGTTGTAAGTACATGAAACGCCAAGGACGATAGGTAGTATCATTGCGACTTGCGTAGCCACCTTGATGGAGTTTATCCGGCAAGATGGATTGAACATGGTGGCCCTGTTGCTTGGCCTTCACGCTTGCCGGACCTGAACCCTTTGGATTTCTTCTTCTGGGGACAGATGAAATTCCTCATTTATGTAAATCCAGAAGTAGTAGGAGCGCGTACTGTGGCCGCTGCAGCAGAAATCCAGGAAACTCTCGTAACCATCGAGCGTGTCCGCTAGTCGTTCCTCCGTCGATGTACTCTGTGTGATAATGTCCGCGGTCGATACTTTGAACAATTGTTGTAATTTTGTTTTCCTCTGGACATCACGAGCTATGTTGTACATAATTATGTGCAATAAGTAATTTCTGGAGTGTTTCTTGTCTCAGTTTATCCATCTCCAGACGCATTTTCTCGATTTTCACCCTTTAATCGTCATTTGCGACCCCATGTTCCGTTGCATTTTTGTTCGTCTTGATGAGCATTATCATCCCTCTAAGTTTGTTGAAGTATTTCTGATATACCCTGTATATGGGCTCCATACATATATCTAAAATATTATAAAAATACAAGACAGCTTTGTATCTGAGGCATTCCATAACTAATTAACGTTTTCGCCTGTTCAATGCATACACAGAACATGCTTTCTTACCTGAGCATAACCCGAAGAAAAGTACAGAGATGATGAACCACATTTTGATTGAAAGTTTCTAGTCTTCAGCTGGTAGCAGATTTGAGGTTCTGTACTACACCTAATAATAATAAACTACTGAAGGATAGTGCTTATATACATTTGTAAAAACAACAGATGCGGAAGTTTATTGTTGTACAAAATTCAACGGAAAGGATATCCGCAACTCAGCAATTAGTGTTGTAATCTGTTTGATTTGAAACGGGAGATAAAATATATAGTTCCTTTAGAATGCTTCCTTTCTGATTATAAAAAAAATAATTAACAAAACATACAGTGTAATTATTGCTTATTTTCTCCCCCCCCCCTTTTTTACTTCCTTGTATGAAGTAAAGGAAGTACTGTAATCACAAAAAATTCCGGGTATAGTATTTCAAAGAAAATAGAAAATAACCATTTTGACCGCTATCAAATGCAATTTTACGATGTTTCTCCGTAACGTCTGTACGTAAGAGCAGAATAAAGCACTCTTCTCCCCAAAGGAATTATATAACATATTTAAAGTACGTATGTATGTGTATATACCTTGCATAACTCGAAAACGAGCAGCTGATAGACTGTTGAAATTTTATACATGAGGGACTGCTGTAGCATGTAGTTGCGCACCTACCTTTTTTGGTCCCAATCGGCCGCACCAAAAGTGTATAAATGTATATACCCGCTCTGTTACTCGGCTCGGCGAGATCATATTTTGTATGCTTATATGTTGGCAAATTGTGCATTTTTTGCTTTAAAATGATTGAATTATGTTATTATATTCCGGTTAAGGTTTTTATGCCTTTAGTTAATCTGCATGAAATAGTTGTAGAATTATCAACAATTTACAAGTTGTACAACTGCTTCTAAGGCTACTTTTTTTAACCATAGCAACCATATTTGAAACTTAGGAGAGTAGTGAATTCAGTCTTTCTGCACCTTCAGTGTCTTTTTGCCTAATGGAGCAAAAGGAAACTTTTAGTTTCGTGCACCGTAAAAACATCCTTCTTGCCTGCTGGCCGAATTGCTAGCTTTTGAGTAGAAACTCTAATTTTAATTTTAAAGATCATTTTTTACTTTCTTTAACTGTATTTGGTGTTTTATATTTTTCTATATCTTTCAATTTTTAATAAAGGTATTTTGAGGTTTTTAATGAGGTATGTATTTTTGCCTTGCCGCGAAGAGAGAACTGAATTAATTGAATCAGAAATATATGTCTAATGAAATTCGAGGAAATAAGTTTAAATAAAATGCGTATAATTTAATATATCGCACATAGTTTTTTTAATAAATGTTTTAATTAAAAAATCGAAAAGTGAAATTTAAGCGAATAATTCAATTTTCAAAATACGCGGTTACAAACAAATGACAATTCTTGGTAATTATCATAATATCATTTCTTTAAAATAATTACATTCGAATATAAATACACATAATAATATCAACATTTCAAATCGGACGGAGATTTGGCTGATACCAGACGGCTAATCCACACCTGATGGTAACCACTCAATAACCTTGTAAAGTGTGTTGGGTGTCCCAAAATTAACGCAAGATTTGAATTCAATATAAAAGAGAGTTTTTAGTCTTTAGATATTTATGTTTTAAATGAATCATAAAGTACATAGGATAGGATTATTTATGGAATAAGACATCGGGCAAACGGCTTCCACGGCTTTGCTGGCACATACGCACCCTTTCGTCGAAATGTTTCATGACCTTTCTGCATAAGTGTGGCTTAATTTCGTTGATGCAGCATTTAATTTCCTCTTGTAATGCACGTGTGGTTGTGGAATTGTTGACATAGACCTTTGATTTCAAATAACCCCATAAGAAGAAATCCAATGGTGTGAAATCACATGATCTAGGTGGCCAATTTCATCACCGAAACGAGAGATTACACGATCAAGAAATGTCTCATGCAGTAATTGAATTGTTTCATTGGCTGCATGGCATGTGGCACCGTCTTGTTGAAACTGGCACATCAATATCATCCAATTTCGGCAGAAAGAACTGTGTTATCATGTCGCGATATCGAGCACCATTAAAAGTTGCTGCTTAACTAGCCTCATTCTCAAAAAAGTATGGTCCGATGATGCCTCCTGCCCCAAATCCGCATCAAACAGTCACACGTTGTGGGTGCATTTGTTTTTCGCTAATCACACATGGCTTCTTCGATCCCCAAACACGATTTTGGCGATTAACAAAGCCATCGTGGTGCTTCATCGCTTAGGATTATTTTGCTCGAAAAACCAGCTTCCACTTTTTGCATTAATAATCCATTCCATGAACTCTCTTCGCTGTTCATGGTCATTAGGCTTCAGTTGTTGTGTTAATGGAATTTTATAAGCATGAAGACACAGATCTTTTGTGAGTATACGCTGTAGAGAGCTTTTTGAAATTTGCAATTCTTGTTCACGACGCTACTACGCCGAATTGATGTTCCTAGATTTTCACCAACACTGCCACGCACTGCTTCAATATTAACATTTGAACGGCTTGTTTTTCGACGACCGGTGGGTTGAGCGTCTCCAGCTGATCCAGTCTCCACGAATTTTGCAATTAATCTTTTCACAGTTGATGAGGTTAAAACACTATTTTTACCATATTTTGTATAAAAGTTTCGAACTGCGGCCGCCAAACTTTCATTATTTTAAAATATTGTTCAATAACGAAGACACGTTGTTGTATCGTATAACGCTCCATTTTCACTAACCCTAAACTCTCGGCTTTCAAACTGTTCTTTTTTCATTGCCAACAACTTAATGCAAAAATGGTGCCAAATTCAAATCTTACGTTAATTTTGGAACACCCTTTAGAACCCGAGGGGAACCTCGCATGAATGAATCTTGACCACAGCTCTCAGGTGAACAAAAGACCCGGGTTTTGAAATAATAGTATCATCAGCAGTAGATAAGGCTACAATAAGCTGGAATATTTAAATGGCCGAATTAAGGTGAAATCACATGTTTGGGAAGTTTATTAAGTGTGAGAACGCCTACCACGTTCAGGCAACAAGGATTGCACGAAATAAGTTTCAAGCAATAAATGCAAGGGAAAATAAAAAGGGAAGAAATGCTAATACTGAAATAATGAATACAAACTGAATATTCTGAATAAAAATAATCAAGGGAATAACCCTGAGATGGAAAATCTATCTGCACTGCGGGAAAAAAAAAAAAAAAAAAAAAAAAAACTGGAAGGTTTTAGATTTTAAATTACATCCAAAGGGGCGTTTTTTTACCATTTTGTGTGTTACATTTATTTCTTAAGTATCATGTTCTTTTCACTTAAACCATAAAACTCAATTCAACAGCAATATCGCAAAATAGTTTTAAAATGAGTCTACCTTTAGAATTTCCGATACGTAGCTTCTCGCGCTGGAGAATAAAAATGTTTTTTCTGCACAACGTTGCCATGGCTCGCTTTGAATACCTTGAGTTTTTTAATCAAAAATTCGTTAAAGGTTTACAGAATATGAAATCGATAATAAATGAAATTTCAAATTTGGTCTTCCACATGCCCATATTCGGAGGAGGATTACGTCATTCAAAATTCGATGGTTCTACGTACCGTGGTTTCATCACAATGACAGATATATACATACATTTATGCAGATTTTTCATTATTTAACTTCTTCAAATATAATGCAAGACTCTAACATTTGGCAGCAACAGTTTGTAAAGTGATTCGCCGTTTATAGTGATTCAACGCAAAATCGCAAAACGAAAACAATAGTCCTTCAGGGACAAAGCCCCTTTGGACTAAAATTTGCACCTGTATTTTCCGTTCTATGGGCCGATAGAAGAAATTCAAATTGCGATTTTCATGCTCGAAAGCGCCACTTAGGATATGTATCAGATTTATATATAACATTGTTCTAATTTAGGTATTTTGACACAAAATCGGACGTTCTCTGAAACGACATGCCAATTTGTTTCCATATTTCGATTCTACTTCTCCAATGATGCCTAAATATTAAATTTTGTAAAATTTCGTGCGAAATTTACTGAGAAATTCAACAATGTATCTTGTAATCAATAATGTAAATTTTTCAATTTGCGCCAAGAATAATTCACTCGTAGAATTTCTTAATATATAGCAACTTATTTTGCTTTCTCTTTTTACATTGTGCATGAGCGGTAGAAAGTTTCACCATTCCTATGTTATAATAATTACAACAAAAGTGCTTACCGTGCGAAAATGCTTAATTATAAAAAAAAACCGCATTTGGCGTTACTATCGCTTTTAACAGATATGCCAAATTTCTATTTCTAATTTAATCAACAAACTCAGCAATGTAAAAGAAATGTTACCATAACGCAGATTTAAATATTTTTACTTTCCACGCGTTAGTGTTCATCAAAAGTAATGATAGATAATTTTTCTTTCAAATTTATTCTGTTTTTAATTAACAAATTAAACCAATTAAGAGCAATAAACGCAAGTTCAGTTCAATTATTATCAATTACTAACGTGATGCGCGAAATTACCTTAGCTGGGTTCATTAAAATCCATTATATGTTTTTCGTTTTAGTCCATAGGGTCAATTGGCCCAGAAGAGCTATTAATTTCGCTTTGGCATTCTGCGTCGATTAACGATAAGCGTTGTTTCATTTTTTAAATTGTTGCCACCCGATATTATCGCCCTGTATTATATTTAAAGAAATTAAATGATGAAGAATCTGCATGAATGTACGTATATTTCTCGCATTGTGATAAAACAACTGTACCTAGAGCCATCAAAAATTTAATAACATAATCTGCCATAGAATATGGGCATGTGGAAGCCCTAATTTGAGTTCGAAATTTGTTTTATTATCGATCTTATATTTTTCAAGACTTCAACGAATTTTTAATTAAAAGCCTAACCCA